ATTAGTGCCCACCATGTATTTTGAATTTGTTTTTAACAAATTCCCTTTCAATATACTTTAGTCTTTTAATCTCTAATCTTTTTTTTTAATTATGAAAATTATCCATACTTGTATCAACGTGAATTCTTGAAAAAGAAAACATGCATTTTACTCTTTGTTCTCTTGGCTCATATCCCTGCCTCATCTTAATTTCCCTTCTTTGAGAATACCACCATCAATAGCTTCTATATGTATCCTTTTCTCCTTTTTCACATAAGCATTTATTCATTAATGTCTCATGGGATTTTTTTTCTTCTGTCTTTTGTTCAAAAAACTGGATCATAGAAAACTCAATGTATCCTTACTTTTAAAAAATTATAGTGTAGACCTCTCTCTGGGTACATATACAGATAAGTCTATTTTAATGATTGAACAGAATTTCATAGTATTGCTGTTCATTATTCTGCTTATAACCTGGTAATGAACATTCTGGTTGATACCATTGTTTAATTATTGCAAATATTTATTATGACATTATAAGCATCCTTTTATATAGGCCTTATATCATTTTCCACTCACTAAAAAAGAAGTAGGAAAAAATAGGAATATTCCATGTTAGCCGTTATCTATTATCACACATTTCTGTAATTAGTAGCCTGGCATGTTGTAATAAACATTTTTTTTAGAGATTTATCCTGTTATGTATGAAGCAGTCCTAAATGCAGCTTTTATTTTGTGTTGGAAGCATTTGTGGTTAGCTTCCAAGTGGGGATTCACTGCAGAGCAGAGATGATCTTTCAGCTGTCATGGTGTCCCATCTTGATCCCTTCATGAGCAAATCAATTACCTGGGTTTGGGCAAATCTAGTATACTAATGGTAGACTACCCAGTGAGCCATGGTTTTCTAGTTTAACCTTGTTAGACTGTGGCCTTAGATTTTTATGAGTGTGTGAAGAGAGCCTAGCTTTTAGAGTGCGTTAATTTAAATGCTCTCTGCGGCATGATTTTGAAATTAGGAAGGGGGGAAATGCTGCTTTGATGACGTGACAGATTTACTCAGATCTCCACCAATTGCATACTGTGTGATATATGATACTCCTGGCCACATGTTTTAGGATTTCAGGAAGAAATCTTACGGTGTGATTTCGGAAACAACCAATCTCCATAGGTGAAAACGAGTGTGTTTATTAATGGGGCCTCAGATGCCTATTACATTCAATCACATTTATAACTAGCAAGGAGAATGATTGTTTTTGCATGATTTAGTGTTTGCACAATTACCATTGCATGGCCAAGCTTGCTGTACTAGAGGCCTGAGAAAGAAGCATATGTGGTCCTTTTGCAGGTAATAAAATGGAAAATCCAATTTGCAATTGCAGAATAAGCCTCTGAGTGATATATGATCTTCATAGCAGCATCGGTCAGAGGGTCACCGCTAATCACGGTGCTGCCTGGCTTCCCCAGTGGCCTGCGCCTCCCAACTGAGGAGTGAGCAAAGTGAGTCTGTGTCTGGGAGCCAGCCAGTGTGTCTGTAGATGCACCACTTTCGAGCTTATTAGATCCTCTTTGTCACAGCGCTTAATCCTGCTGCCTGATCCTTGTTAGAACACCACTGGAGCGCTGCTCAGCCTTCTAATAAAGGCGATGGGTGAGGGCTCCTCGCTGGACGCACTGAAGCGTGTGGTGCTAGGGTGATTGTGGGCTGACTGACAGCAGGATGAGCTGCATCCTGCATGTTATTACTTAAAAGGGAACCTACCCCAGACAGCTGACGGATGAGCTTTGCTGAGGCAGTGGGAACTTGTTGCTAGGCCAATATGAGACGGGTGTCATCTTTTCACATGGTATAATGGCCTAGCTTTACTCTAATTATATTAACCCTCTTCTGAAATTGCTGCATGCTGGGCTGGCGCAGAGTGAGGTAAGAGAACCAAGAGACAAATAGCTTGCTGGGAGGATTACAGCTATGCAGAAGCAGGGATTGTGTTATCCACCAGTGACATTAAGTTGAAAAACAAAAGGAGAGCATCCTATCACACCAAGCACCCATCATAACTCTGAAGAGGCATTGCTTAGTTGGGCTCATGTGTGATTTCCATCCTAGTCATACCTAATTGTTTCCTCCTTCAAGGTTTGCTGCAGACATTTAAATGTGGTTTTAATGGTTCTTTGTTTAAAAAATCAAGCAGCATCAAAACAAGAGGCTATTGTTTCTCTTATTTTCCCCCTGTGAACTTGAATCATACTCTTCATACTCTTCATATGAAGTACTCTTCGTACTTCATACGAATCTCTGTGAAATACCTGTGAATTTGATTTCGTAGCATTGTTTGATACTGAAATGAGTAAGAGTGGTGTGGAGTAACCCAGATTCCCTCATCTGCCCCAGCAGAATGTGCAGATGGTTTCCAAGTGATGTAAATAAAGAAGCTCATGAATAGCTCATGGTCCTTTAAGTTTCCTGTGACTTTCAGACATCAGTGAACAATTCCTTTTCCCTGAAGGGAGTGTGTCTAGCTCACATCCAGCATCTCCTGTGTGCTTCAGTTAGCAGAAGTCATTAGCAGTCCTCTACGCCTCTCCCATCTCCACTGACAGCACTAAATAGAGACATCACTTGGGACTGACAGATCTCTCGGGGGCTACAGGCTTCAGACAGAAGAGTATGGCTGACCTTTCTTGGCATTATTCCCATAGGTCTGTCTTCTATGTGCAGCAATTGGGACACATATAATTTTAGTGCATTATTTTCAGAGGATTACCATTAAAAAGACTGCAAACTTAGTAAGGAGCTGTTAAGTAGCTAACAAGAGGCTGTGCACATGAGACTGTGGGCTTTTAGGTTGTTGCTGGTAGAAGCAAGCCCCTTTTGCAATTCCCCCTGCAGGAATATGCATACATGCCTGAAGTTGAAGGATGGGCCATTGAAAGCTGCTCACTTCATGTTGGACCAGTACTTTTAGATTATTGGAGCAAGCCTTGGAATTTGGCAGGAAGGATATTTGATGCAGCTGGAGAAAGAAGAGAGTCTCTTTTCCTCACAGTCTCATTTAAGTCATGTCAGAGAAGATTTGGAATGGTTGAGGCTGGTCTGTAGCATCTTTCCAAGGCACTGTCTCTGGTCCTTGTTTCTTTCACACTGACCAATGGCCCTGAAAATAGTGATCAGAAATGATCTGTGCTCCAAACATAGCTACCTTCCCTTTTTCTGCTCTTTTCCACAAAGTAGTCTAAAGAAGTAGAAGGGAGGAAGGAAGGAGAAGGAGAATTCCTACAATCTCCATCTGAAACATGTTAGCTCAGTGTACTTGAGTTAACTCATGGCAGCGTGTGAATGATGGAAGGTCGGAAAATATTTGTTCAATAAGTAGAACTCTGCCAACCAGAAATTCAGACTGTATTTCTCAGCAGTCTGAGTTGGACGATGAGGAGAAAAGAGATTTGGGGCAGAATAGGCACTAATGGGGAGTCCTCTTTGCTTGGGAATTAGTTTACATCCTAATTCCATAAATTTAGAATTTATGTCTTTGTTTTTTCTTCTTCCCCCCACCCCATTCACTTTGGAATGCACATGCTTTCCTAAGGGCCTCTGCCATTTGTTTCATAGTCAACTCCATGCTGAGTCAGTGGTGCAGCTCATAGTTAGGAAGATGACAATATGTAAGGATATTTATTTAAAAATGTTAGCATATGTTAATTGTTCAAAGAGGTGTTATTGCAATATTCCCATAAGTGCATATAATGTATTTGATCATATTTACCTCTCTTCACCCTCAACTTCCCCTCTCCTGCTGGTTCCCTGCCCCCGGTCAGTCCCCTGTTACACTCATGACATTTTCTGTGTGTCCAGGGGGATGTTTTCATAGAGGTTTGCTCACCTGTAGCACCTATATTCCAAAATTATTTATGATCTGCTGCACCACAATCACTTGTCGCCTGGTACATGGCTCCTTCCCTCAGTGGCCCTGCATCCTCAGAGTGGAAGACAGTGTACATATCGTGCATGGAAAACGTGACACATCTGAAATACAGGCTTGTCTTGAAATGGGTGACTTCTCTTCAGAAATTTATATTCTAATTTTTCGGAAAAGGGGAAATTGGACAAAAAGAATTAGTGAGGGAATGATACAGAAGAGAGAACATAATGCTACAAACTCGATCCTAAGAGGAAGTAAGACATACAGAGAAATAGGACCTGGTGTGGTAACTCAAGCCTTTAATCCATGGGGAGGCAGAAGTCAGGAAAATCACAGTTCAAGGACAGGCAAAAAGTTTGTGAGACACTATCTCAAGCATTAAGCCAGGTATGGTAACATACACCTGTGATTCCAACTATGCAGGAGTTATAGGCAGGAGGTCTGAGGTCTGATGCCCTGGGCAAACACTCAAAAACACTCTTTTGAATCTAAAATCATCCTCCCCAAGTAAAGATAAAAACCCAGCCCTCTGCCTACCAGGACAATCCCAGGTACAATAAATAGCCAAATAGAGTATGGGCAATTCTTGGTTTTTCATTTGCCCTTGGCAGCTTTCTGGATTGTGGTTTAGCGAATCAAACTCATCAATTTCCAAGGTGACTTAATCTCTGACTAATGATGTTTAACCATCATGAGATGGGAAATTGACAGTATTGATAATCTTGGAGAGAAATATATCTGCTTATTTTTGCAGCTAATACCAACAAATTCTTACTTTCCTTGGAAGGGTCATGATGAATTACTCTCTGAATATTTACTAATATCTGTTTTCTTTAAAAGCATTTTGTACAATTGCAATCATTTCTCTTTCTCCATTTTCTGAACAGTTAAAAGTCCGTATAACAAAAAAGAGGAAAGATTCAAAGGATCTATTTGTTTTAAGAAAAAATATTTCCTCAACTTCCTAGTAAGAATTTTCATTTATACTTTAGTGCCAAGAGCTCAGATCAACTTGCAAATACGTTTCATGATCCTATCAGTTTTGACAAAGTAGGCAGTAACACCTCAGAACAGGACACACATGTTACTTTTGTCATGTCTTGGGAATAATAATTGCTGGGTGCCTGTGTCCAATCAGCCCTGCACCATGAGAAGTCTGAAAGTGGACTCGTACAGTAGGAGTAAGAGAAAGGTCTTTAGTGAATCTGTTGCAGGTAAAGCCAATATACATCTCTGCTGCTTAACCTCTGCCCCGTCTGCCTTGCACAGGTAAGCACATTAGAGGAAGTTCTTTCTCACATTTCCTAGAGTGGCCTGATCAAATGGTGATATCCAGACGAGGTACTGCTTGCTGGCTTTTATGTGACCTTCATTAGCCCATCTTTATTCATCTAGGTGAAGATATAATCTGATTGCTTCTGTTGTACAAAGAAAACTGATTAGAAGTCAGGTTCAAGTCCCCAGACCAGCAATTTTCTGATCTTGGACATATTAGTTAATTTCCCTAAGTTTCCATTTCTTCACCCATAAAGTGATATTAATAACTGATGTTGAGGATTGCTGGAGAATTAAATAAGAAAGGAATTTTAAAAGGCAATTTGTAAACTGATTAGGGCTGTACAGATGTTAGCCTCAATCATTACCACATTGAGAATCACTTAGGGCTGATTCTGAGATGTGCTTAGCCTACTTGAGTAATGCCATAATAATTTTACTTGGGTAACATTCTTGCGTTTCTTCATTCAGGTTCTACTTTGCTTGATGGAAAAAAAAAGTGGTGTTGCTCAGGTTAGACTTGGATTCACCAGCACAAATAGAGATGCACCTTGACATTGTCAAGATAGGATTTCAGAAGGTTCTGATATTATCACTTCTCTCAATCTTGAGCAAGTCTTTTGAGTCTATGTAGCGAATACCAAGAAAAATAAGGCGTATGCTACATTGGCAATAATTCCTTCCAGGTTTGCTTCTTCTTTCCTCCTCTCCACTTTCTCTTCCTTCATTTGCTTATAATTTCTTGAACAAGAGAATTGTTGCTAAAATTGCTTGGGTACCAGTGATAAATTGGAATATGGAATTCTTAAAAAATGAAACAACCCACAAGATACTTGGTATCATACTGTGGTTACTGAGCCGGACTTCTTAGACCTGATCTGCAGTAGATGAAAAGAAAAGCTGAAGGTCATCTCTTTTGTTTTCTTCCCTTCATCTTTTCAGGGAACTTGGATTTAACTGGTCAGAAGCAAGTCTTCAAAGCAGAGAACAACCCCTGGGTGACCCCAATTGCTGACCAGTTCCAGCTTGGTGTTTCCCATGTTTTCGAGTACATACGTTCTGAAACATACAAGTAGTAAGTAGACTGTGGTTTTTCTTAAACAGTAAACTGATTTTTTTTATGGTATTAATAAAAATAGTTTTTAAATTATGCAACATTGTCCTGTTCGAGGCAGTTAACACGTAGCATTTTTAAATGTTTTATTAAAAACTACATGTGGTAATTGTCTGTTATTTGTAGACTTTTTTTTTGACATTTTTCAAGGGCATTTTTACCAATTTTGTTTAGAGAATTTGTAAAGTATTAAATTAGTTGAATATTCATGACACTTAAAGAAATTCACCAGACACATTAGGATCAGAACATATTTTATTCTTCTGTGAATGCAAAGTATTACAAGTGTTAGGAACAAAATTGTTAAGCAGTTTATTTATAAAATCAGTAGAGAGTACTAGGAAAGTGTCATCCTATTATTTAAGTTTCACTCTAGTGAGATGATTACCTCAAAGACAAAAAGAAAAGACAGAAAAAGAGGCAGAGAAACCAACCAGCTTAATATCATAGCATCAGAATATCTCCAGTCCTCACTGTAGGTTTAGGGGACTGTGGGAAGGCACCCCTGGAATCTAGCTATTCCCATCTCTTTCTTCCTCTGTGTTTCAGGGTTGGAGGGAATCCTGCTCCCTCCCATCTGCTTCTGTTCTATCTTTTGTCATTCTCTTTCCAATTTATCCCAGCTCTGTACCCCCAAAACTGTCATTTACCTCAATGCTTAACTGATACTAGGCTAAAATTTAGTCTAGTTTTATACATCTTCAGAAAAGACTTGAAAAAATCTTTAATCAGATTTTAGTCATTTTCTGTGTTCACTAACATTTGAGACTTTGACATCCTAACTATGGGAGGAAGAGCTAGAACATCCTCAAAGGTCACATTCCATGAAGAGTCTCTTGTTTTCTTTTTTTTGGAATCAGAAAAATGTCCCCAACTCAACACAGATCTCAATGTTTCTATACTGGACCAGTGGAACAAGATCAAGTGACACGACAGAACCTCTGCCTGTAAATGGCTAGCTATGGTTCTGTAGCCCTCTAGCAGAAGCACAGAAGCCTTAACAGTAAATGGACTAAATGGGCTGGTGATGTGGCTCAGTGATAGAGTGCTTGTCTAGCATTCTGGAGCCCCTTGGTTCAGTCCCCAGGACCTCAAAATAAATAAAGAAACCTAAATACACTTAAAACTGCCAAAAATGGTAGCATGTCTTCATAGATAAAAATCAGCTTAAAGCATGGTTTGGACTTTTTTTAAGACAATACTCTGACATTTACCAGTGAAGTCCTAAGAAGAATAAAATAAGTGTAAGATATGTGTTATTGTTTCCAGGGCCATATAGATATATGCACTTACTACTTACTCAATCTTTAAAAAATACAAATATAGCTCAGCCTTAGAATGCATGAAAATATAATTGCAAGTTAACAGATTACTATTCATTTTGTTTTTCTTGATAATTATTGCTATGATGAATTTTTGGGTAGGATCTAATTTTTTGTGAGTAAATGTGAAGCTGCATAGAGCTTGGTCTGTTGGCATCTTAGAAAATCCTTTGTATATGGTAGTATTCAGAAAAATGTACAAATAAGCTCCCATTAATCCAGAATTAGAGGAAATACTCTGTTTATTATTCTGGTTAACATTTAAAAAATTTTATAGGTTAATGTGTAATTTTACAGAGGATTAGAATACATTGCCTATGAAAGTGCTTCTAACTAATTTCATTTAAAACAATTTATTTGTGAGTTTGTGGATCTTGTACTACCTCTGAGTCATTATTGAGAGATTAATTACTGTTGTACACTTTTAAACATGGTTTGGATTCTGAGAATAGAAGTTTGTTGCTTTGGTTTGATTAGTAGTTATTTAAAAGGGAATAGATGGCACATTTTAATCAGTAACATTATCTGATGTGTCTTTTTATTGTGGTGCTGGGGATTGAACCCAGGGCCTTGAGCACGCTAGTCACATATTCTTCTGCTTGAGCTAGGGGATTTTATTTTTGAGATAGGGTCTCATTAACTTTGCCTGGGTTGGCCTTAGACTCCTGATCCTCCTGCCTCCACCTTTCAAGTAGCTGGGATTACAAGGGAACACCATCACACTTGGCTGAATGGATCTCTTCTTATCTCCATTATTAGCATTTAACTGTTGAGAGCCCGTGTAACTTAAACAATTTGCCTGATGTAAGCTTACTTTTTCTTTCTGATTGACTTGTGGTGTACTGTATTACCTTCTATACAGCTCAATTAACATGAAAAAGTTTAAGTAGGTGTACAGTGTCATTGTATCCCCTTTCTAGGGGACCCCAGTACCTCATTTGCTACTTTCAGGGGTGTCTATGTGAGCCTGTGATGGAAGGCCACACTTGACATGACTTCTCCCATTTGTCCTTGGGAAAGAGAAGTATGTTGATATTTCTTAATTTCAGTTTTCACCCTCCCATTCACTCTATATCTTAAAAAAAAAAATCCCTACATGAAAATGTCACCATTGTTTCACCAAACTGATGTACACTGACTCAAATTTGAAGGTCCTTGGGACCAGGCGTAGTGGCTCACACCCATAGTCCCAGCTATTTTGGAGGTAAAGATGAGAGGATCGCAGTTCAGGCCAGCCCTGGCAAAATGTTAATGAGACTTCATCTCTCCCAGGCCAAAACCTGGAGACCCTAACTGAAAATTTTTTTAAAAAATTAAAGCAAAAAGGGATGGGGGTATGTTTCAAGTGGTAGAGTGTCTGTCTAGCAAGCTGAAAGCCCTGAGTTCAAATCCCATTACTGCCAAAAAGAAAAAAGTTAGCATCCTCCTAAAGGTCCTCTGAAGGACCTATTCATGTAAAGGTGACATCAGCATATCCTCCTGTAATTGGAACCCAAATTCGTTCTTTGATTGCTTAAAGCAGCTGTTTCATAATTAGAGCATTTATAGTGTTCTTCCCAGCTATCACAAAAAATATTACCCTTTGTAGTTGGGACTTGCATACTTTTAAAAAAGTTTTACATGTGACAGCCTTCCGGGAAGGGATGTATTCATGTCACTCAGATTTGGGGGAAAAGAAGAAACAATAACAACAACAAAAAAACCCAAGTATTACATTCTGGATCTTAGTGTTAGATCCTGAGATCTGAAGCCTTGTAATACCTCATAGTCACTTCTTTGTTGCTTGTTATTTAAGCCACATGTGTCCCTGCAATAAAAAATCCTTGCATGTGTTAACATATATACACATACACACATGAAGATATATAGGTAGATCTTTAAACTACCATGTAAGCATAAGTTTTTTGGCCTTCAAAATACCAGTGAATTTCCTTTCTTTGTCTTTTTTTTTTCTTCTTTTTTTTTTTTAACCATTTAACCTATTACCTAAAAGACAGCAATAAAGAACTAATGAACTTACCAGTGTTTCATTGTCCTGCACATCCCCTGGGTGACTTTCCCGGTGTCCTTGGTGTTCTTAGCACATCCTTAAGGCCTTCTGAATGTAGGGTAGCAAGTGAAAGTACAGAAGATGGATTTATAGGCTCTAATGGAGCTCAAGAGGGGATGATTTAATTTGATGCAGATAGGAGCTTTGTTCCAGTGAGGCAGGAGGAGGTGCTGGTGAGTGTGGCTGGTCTGATGTTGAGGTGTGGTTTTTCAGAGATGTTCTTCGGGGTAACTTTTGGGGCATTCATCATGTCTTCCTCTCTGTTTCTCAGGTGGAGGGTTCTCTGTCTTGTTTTTGTTCATCTTTCTACTTGTACATAGGGACCATATTGGCTGGTGTCATTGCAGTGCCCTTTGTAAGTCATTCCTTCTGTTAAAGTAAAATAATTTGCCAGGTCTGGTTGTTGGGGATCACATCTTCCATGAGTTTCACACCATTGTTGAGTTACACAATCACCTTTTAACTCTTTATTCGTTGGTGGCCATCTCCTTGTTTGACCCCTTTTATTTCTGACTCTCTATTTCTGTACAGTTATGATGGACCAGTCACCACTCGTTAGATTTCCAGAAGGTGGATTTTTCTGCAGGAAGGGCAGTCCAGTTAAAGTCAGGGCTCTTGACAAGATGCATTGTGAAAGGTAGTAACTCACACTTTTCACATTTCCATCAAAGACTGTGAAGAGAGACCACAGCCATTTTAATAGCTGACAAGTTAACTCCTGTCAACAAGTTAACAAAGGAAGAGATTTGTCAAATGCTAGGCTGAAAATGTGGTGGCTGAAAGAGCATTTGGAAAACAGGCATCCCCATGAAGGCTGCAATTTGCAAAGACTGGCAACCCCACATCCTCATTTCCAGTCTGGCATAACTCAAAAGATGCTTCCTCTTCATTCTTCAAATCTTGTGGCTTTCCTTTCTCTGTGGGGACGGGTACCCCACTCATCTGGCATTTTTTATTTGTTTTTGCAGAACTGGGGTTTGAACTCAGGACCTCATGGTTGTAAGGCAGGTGCTCTACCACTTGCCCCACTCCTTTTTGCTTTAGTTATTTTCAGAGAGGGTCTCAACCTTTTGCCTGGACTAATTTGGAAGGAGACCCTCCAACCTATTCTTCTTTCTGTGTAAGCTGGGGTGACAGGTGGAAGTCACTTGTACCCAGCTTGTTTGTTTGTTTGTTTTAATCTTAAATTAAAAACTGGCCATAGTATTGTCCATGTTTGGTAATGGAAACACTTTACAAAATGATTCTTGTAGAATGGGGGTTAATAATGAGAAAATGATGAGAATTTCTGTTCACTAGAAACCTGGCAAAATCAGTTATCCTGTTTCATTTGTAAGGAAGAATTCTGTTATCTGCTGGTTATTGTTTCTCAAATTGTTTTACTTGTGGAATTAAGACTAAGTAATATTTATTTTTTCCTTTTGTACTGTGTGCAAACCTACTACAGGCTATCATGACCATAAATGGGCTTTATTAATCAAGTACTGCCTCCTCTAATGGCTCCTGGCCTACAAGTTCTTTAAATAACTTAAGGGATATTTCTGGAACCTAATAGGTGAGCACATTCATTTTAAGACAGCCATTTGTAG